AGGACTGATAACCCAATTACAAAATGGGCAAAAGACATGGAAAGAATTTTCACAGAGGAAGATATTTGAATGGCAGACACATGAAGAAATGCTCAAAATCATTGGCAGTAAGAGAGATGCATATCAAAACCACAGTAAGATACCATTTTATCCCAGTAGCAGGCAGCAAGTAATAAATGTTGGATAGGATGTGACAAAATAGGAACTTTTATATACACTGTTGGTGGGATTATAAAATGGTACAACCATTCTGGAAGGCAGTTTGGCATTTCCTCAAAAAGCTGAATGTAGAAATTCCATATGACCTGGCTGTTCCACTGCTTGGAATATACCCTGAGAAAATAACAACCGAGACACATAGACTTGTACACAGTGTTCATAGCATTATTCACCATAGCAAGAACATGGAAACAGCCCAGAGATGTCCAACAACAATGGAATGGATTAAGAAATTACAGTATAATCACAGAATGGAATACTGTGCAGCACACAGGAGCAATGATTTTGTAACTTACTACCTAACTTGGAAGAGCATTATTTATATTAAGTGATATTATTATACTCATAAAGAGTATTATACTAAGTAATAATTTAAATATTAATTAATGATATTATTACATTCATAAACAGCATTATACTAAGTAATATTATTATAAAGACAAATACATTATTGTAGAACCAATACGAGGATCCAAGGCAGGGAGACAGTAACAGATGGGGGTGGTGGGAGCTTAATCATAGGATCGCAGAATTTGAAGAGTGGAGGGAGAGTTGGGTAAAGGAAAAATAATATACACAAGCTTTGTGAGTAAACTAGTATAAAATTTTTTAAAAAAATGAAAACAAAGATCCTCACCACCAGATGGTAGCCAGTATCATGATAGATGAAGAAAAGATTGAGGTTGTTGATGATTTTTATCTTGCTTGGATCCACAATCAACATTCTTGGCACTAACAGTCAAGAAATCTAGACAAGTTGCATGGGAAAATCCACTTACTATCATGGATCTCTCCAGAGTGCAAAAGAGCAGCAATGTCAGTCTAGATACTAAAGTGTGCCTGTCCAGGCCATAGTCTTCTCAGTTACTGTGCATCTGGGAACTAGACAGTCAATAAAAATAGCAGAAGATGAATTGATGATGCCTTTGAATTTTGGTGCCGGAGAAGAGTGTTGAACATACCATGAACTGCCAAGAAGACAAATAGGTCTGTCCTGGAGAGAGTGAAACCATTTTATTTGCTGGAAGTAAAGATTTTGGAGCTTTACTTCACATCATTTGAACACGTTGCCAGGAGGGACCAGTCCTTGAAGAAGAACATCATGCTTGGAAGGTTGGAGGGTCAGTGCAGAAGAGAAAGATCCCAAATGAGATGGAGTGACATGGTAATTGTGACAGTGGGGTTTGTGTCAGAAGCGGTAAAGTTGACTCAGGATAGGCAAAGTTTAGGGCCATGGTTCATAGGGTTCACTGTTAGTCATAGGTGATTCGACACACAACAACATTAAGAAGTAGTTTATATTAAAAGGAAATAACCTTTTCCTTTGTTTATATGGATAAGCAAAGTACTACTGAAGAAGAAAAGCAGGTAGGAGGCCTTATACTGTCAGATCTCAAAGCTACTGCACAACCACAGTAGTCAAAACTGTGATATGGAACTGGTATAGCAAAAGTTAAGTAGACCATTGGAGTAGAATTGTTGTTATTATGTGCCATTGAGTCACCTGCCACTCACCCTATGCACAACAGCTTAAACCCTGCTCTATCTTGTGCCAATCTTACTGTCTCTGACACAGCTACCCCCATTACCCCAGTTAGTGAATCAGCCCACTCATCAAGAATCTTCCTCTCCTACACTGTCCCTCCACCCTCCCAAGCATGAGGCCCCCTCCAAGGATTGGTCCCTTCTTGCATCATGTCCAAAGTATGTCAGATGAAGTTTCAGAATTAAGAGTCCAGAAATAAGTCTATCTGCTTATGATTGGTCTTTGACAAAGAGATGAAATCCATTAAGTATGGAAAAGACAGCCTCTTTTACAAATGATGCTGGCAAAACTGGATTATCTGCAGAAAATAGAAAAGATCCGTTATCTCACACTATATAAAAAAAAATTAGTTCTAAATGAATCAAGGACCTAGGGATAAAACCTAAACCAATAAAATTCATCAAAGAAAAAAATAGGTGCAAACTTCTTGTTATTGTTACGTGCCATTGAGTCACTACTCATAGAGACCCTGTGAACAACAGATTAACAGATCAGAATTTTGCCCTTTTCTATACTATCCTCATCATCTTCAATATGCTTGAGCCCACTGTTGCAGTCACAATGTCACAGTCTCTTTTTTAAGGTGGTGTTCTCTAAACCTCTGCCTTTTCCAGCTTGTCTTTTCCCCAAAGACTGGTCCCTCTTGACAACATGCCCAAAGCACATGAGGTGAAGTTTCACTACCCTTGCCCCCTAATTGGTGGCATAAATAAATTACCAAATAAACTGAAAAAGCACAGTCAGCAGAGGATAAACTGGATGATTGGGACTCCGAAACATTGAATCCTATGTGCATCAAAATATTTCTCCAAAAGAATAAAAAAAGACCCTAAAGACTAGGAAAAAATATTTGGTGATGACATCTGAAGAGTTTTATCTCTAGAATGTATAGACAACTCCAACATAGCAACAACAATAAAAAAGAAACAATTAGAAAATGGGCAGTGGCCATGAAAAGGCAATTCACCAATGAAAATCTGGATGACCAATGAGAAAATATTTAAGCTCATCCGCTGTTTGAAAGATGCAAATCAGAATAATGAGATAACATCTCACCTCAGCAACAATAGAAAAATTCAACAAGACAGAATACAGTAACTCATCGACTGCTGGTGAGAATGCAAAATGGTGCAACCACAGTGAATAGCAGTTTGTTGCTTCCTTAAAAGTTGGGACTAGAAATACTATTTGATTCAGCAGTACCCTAAAGAAATAAAGAGTTAAGTAATTAGATATGCCAAAGAAATAAGAGTTGAAATACAAACTGATATTTATACACCCATGTTTATAGCAACATTATTTATAGTAGCAAAGAGTTGGAAACAGCATGCTAGTCCATCAACAGACAAAGGGCTAAAGAATTACGGTACATTAACACATGGAATGTCTATCTGTGTTTCATTGACTATGCAAAGGCGTTTGACTGTGTGGATCATAACAAACTGGCTGACTCTGAGAAGAATGGAAATACCAGAACACTTGATCATGCTAATGAGAAACCTGTACGTGGACCAGGAGGCAGTCGTCAGAACAGAGCAAGGGGACACTGCATGGTTCAAAATTGGGAAGGGCGTAAACCAGGGATGCATCCTATCTCCATACCTTTTCAAACTGTATGCAGAACAGATTATCCGGGAGGCTGGGCTCTATGAGGAGAAATGTGGTGTCAAGATTGGTGGATGATTTATCAACAATCTGCGATATGCAGATGACACTACCCTGCTTGCTGAAACTGAAGAGGACCTAAAGTACCTGCTGCAGAGTGTCAAGGGCTGCAGCCTGCAATATGGGTTGAGGCTCAATGTCAAGAAGACAAAGATTCTCACCACTGGACCAATTGGCAGCATCAGGTTGGATGGTGAAGAGATTGAGATTATTCACAACTTTAGTTTGCTTGGCTCCACAGTCAACACTCTTGGCACCAGTAGCCAGGAAATTAAAAGGCGCATTGCCATGGGAATGTCTGCTGTTAGGGACCTCTCCAAAGTACTGAAGAGCAATGGTGTGTCTCTGGAGACTAAGGTGCATCTGATACAGGTCATGGTCTTCACAGTCACTTGTTATGCATCAGCGAGTTGGACAATGACCAAGGAGGATAGAAGGAGAATTGATGCCTTTGAGCTGTGGTACTGGAAAAGAGTACTGAGAATACCATGGACTGCTAGGAAAACAGATTCATCCTGGAAAGGGTTAAACCGGGTGGCTCCTTGGAGGCAAGGATTCTGAGGCTCCGTTTAACATACTTTGGACATGTTGTGAGGAGAGACCGGTCCTTGGAGAAGGACATCATGCTTGGGAGGGTGGAGGGACAGCGCAGGAGAGGAAGGCCCTCTATGAGGTGGATTGATTCAGTGACTGGGATAATTGGGATGGGAGTGTCAGAGACAGTGCGATTGGCACAGGACAGAGTGGAGTTTAGGGCTGTTGTACATAGGGTCGCTATGAGTCGCAAGTGACTCGATGGCACATAACAACAACACATGGTCAATAATTTGAGAAACACTACACAATGTGATTGAATCCAGAGCAAATTTTGCTGAGTGACATAAGTCAGTCACAAAAGAACAGTTGTGATATAAGGCCAGTTATATAAAACTAAGGGGAAATTTATACATAGACTCAATCTTGGATGGTTAACAGGGATGGGAAGGGCCGGAAAGAAGAGCAAAATTAATAAATAAGTTGAGTGAAGGGGAAAGCAGTATACATTAAGGGGTGGTTAATTGTGCGTTGTAATTAGTGATATTAATTGTAATTAGTGTTACAAAAAGTTTTATATTGGGGCAAGAGGTAAAGAAAAATAACTCTGAGATCTCACAATTCCATTGCCATCAGTTGGACCCCAACTTATAGTAATATATTCTGTCCATGTAACACAATGTTTGAAGGCTGTAATCTTTACAGAAGCCTACTGCGACTTCTTTCTCTTATTGAGTGGATGGTGAATTTGAACTACTGGCCTTTCAGTTAACAGCCAACCACTTTAACTACTGCACCTTTGAGGTTCCTTGAGGTTTCACCATAGAAAATGCTCTTTCTAAATTAGAAAATAAGAATAGTGATTATTTTATCACCCAGCTTCTATTTAGGTACAACTGATTGGGCAAGTAGAAATTGCCGTATATCTCTTTATTATCAAGTAAATGAGGAATTACTGGTTGGACTTGGCAGGGATGAAAATGTGACAGCATACACCTGGAAAAGGTTGCTAACTCCTTTTGTTGTTTTCCAACAGAGTTTCAGATTTGGTGTGGAAATAGCTTATGTGGGAGCCACTATCTTGGATGTCTGCAAGAGAGTAAGAAGAAAGACTTTAGTCGGAGGAAACCATCAGAGTAAGGTTTTGTTACTCTGCTTTTATTTGTTGCAAATATTAATTTTCCTCACTATTTTGATTTGACTGTTGATTCTGTGCTCTCTTCCCAAAGGTGGCATTAGAGGTGATACACAGGGACAAGTGGCCCTTTTGTCTCGAACAAATGCCAGTGTGTTTGATGAGGCCGTTCGAGTGACTGAAGGAGATGCACCCTCCAGGATACATTTGATTGGGGTAAGAGTAAATTTCTGTTGTCTGCTATGCACAGAAACCTTACAGATGAATAAATTCATTCAAAATTTTGAAATTAAGTAACATTATTATGCAAAAAAGAAACATTGGAGGTGTGGCCATTTCACCAGACTTAGGTAAAACTCAAGTCTTTATCTCTGGTTATTCTGATAATATTATAAAGTTAGATCAGTAACAGCTGAGTATATTTTACTCTTTAAAAAAATTAATGCCTGGTGCCTGAGAAAACATGGCGGCGCCTATGTATCCCAGTCCATACTAAAAGGGGACAGCCGCCGGGACGCAGGCCCAGGCGGCATCATAAGGCACCATGCTGCAGGCAGCGTGCAGGGCGCTGAGTTCGATTCGGATCCAGGCAGTAACCCAGGCCCCAGTCTTTAGGGTGTCAGAGAGAGGGAAGACTAGGCTTTCCTCAAAACAGTGGGGTCTGCAACCTCAAGGTCTCCTCCTCCAGGCCGCCTGCGGATTTGCCAGCCAGAAACAAGCCACAGTCCAGCCCATCCAAGATGATGACCTGCCCCCTTCCATGTTGTTCAAAGACTACCAAAACATCCCTGGAATTGACAAGGTTGATGATGTGGTGAAAAGGCTCTTGTCTTTGTAAATGGCTAACCAGAAGGAGAAGCTAAAAGTCAAGCAGGAGCAGTTGATGAACAAGATTGTGGCAAACCCTGAGGACACCAGATCCCTGGAAGCTCAAATTGTTGCCTTGACTGTCAAGATCCGCAGTTATGAAGAACACATGAAGAAACACCGAAAGGACAAAGCCCACAAGCGCTATCTGCTCATGAGCATCGACCAAAGACAGAAAAAGCTCAAATTCCTCCGTAGAACCAACTATGATGTCTTTGAGAAGATGTGCAGGGAGCTGGGAATTGAGTACACATTCCCCCCTCTGTACTACAGAAAGGCCCACCGCTGCTGGGTGGCCAAGAAGGCGCTGTGCATTCGGGTTTTCCAGGAGGCTCAGAAGCTGAAGAAGCAAAAAAGGATCTTAAAAGCTACAGCGGCCGCCCAGAAGCAAGGCCAGAAAAGCTCAGGGGCCTTCAGAAGCCAGACTAGATACATGCAAAGAAAATCAATAAATTCTGTTAAAATTAAAAAAAAAAAAAGAAAATTAATGCCTTTCTTTCACTGTGTTTAAGAGGCTTCTGGTTGGTGGATTCCTACCTGATTTTTTCTGGTTGTATGTTGCTCATTGTTGTAAGAACAACTCAAGTAATGTTGTGCTGGGAAGTACTATGTCTGCTAGTGTGTTAAGTTTGAGCACCGGGGTTCTAGCTCTGGTTCTGTCATTAACTTACTGTGGCTTGGAGCAAGTCACAGCTTCTGTGTGCCTCGTGCTCTCCATCTCTTAAAAAAAAATCCCTTTTTCTTTACCTGTTTCACAGGGAAGTTAGAATTCACTGACATGTATAAGGCATTTTTAACTCTATGAAACAATGTTATAATTAAATTAATTATATTCATTATTTAGTAGTTCACATATGAAAAAAAGTTATTTTTGAAGCCAGATGGAAGGTGGCTGTGAGCTGGAATTACAGCAGTGGGCGTGGTTTTTCGTTTTCACTGTGTGCTGGGCACTCAATTAAATACTGAAAGTGAAGCATAATCAAATCATTTTCTCCCCTTTTGTATATATAAAGATTATATAGCCATATAGAAATATGGAGAACTGAGATGGAAAAATACCTAGCTCAGTATTTTGTATCATAATTTTAACTTACACTAGTTGTTTTTTCCTTTGTCCTTGTATTCTTTTACATATTTTAATTTATTGTACATAAAAAATGTAAGCTGTTTTTCACTGAACAACAGAAGCTTTTTTCTTTTATATCACTACTTTGGTGACTTTACAATAGTTCATGCAGTGATTGTACCGTAATGTAGCTTTTCACTGTAAGAAAACCATATTTTTTAGAATATCATTCATATTGGGCATAACTTTATTCTCTTCCTCCTCATACATCGATTTATCTCCTATAGTATGTGTTGTTATTCTTGATCACATCTAGTTTTGAGTTACAATGTAAACTGTCTTATTTTGGTCTCTGTTTTATGTGTGTCTTCTCAAAAAAGATTGTAAATCACTTGTGTGGGGATTCTTGTCTCTTTTATGTTAGTGCCTGATTTTGTGCTAGAGCTGACTTAGATTCAGCAAACACGCCTTATGTAGGATTAGGTTAAACTGTGTTACGGCCAGGCCCTCTCACTCAGGAATTTAACCTTTTAGAATATGGAGCAATCTAGACCTATAGATAGTGTGTAATTCTTTTCTTAAGAGAAACAATGGTAAATATTCAAACTCAATAGTTTACTTTTAGGTAATATTTGTATCCTTCATTGCAATCTTTTTATGTTCCTGGAAGGTGGATTGAAATTGTCCCTTTACTAAAGGAGAAAGTATAGCTCGTTTTTCTCAAACAGGAAGAGTTTGAAGTAGTAGCCCCAACTCAGAATTTAATACTGAGTTTCAGGCTGAGAAGTAGACTATTGTTTTGTGCTTGATGGAGTTTCCTAATTACTATCTTTATACTTTGGATACAATTTGAGGTGTTTTGAAGAAATTTCCAAAGTTCTACATTCACTTAGTTAAACCAACAACAAAAGAAAACAAAAAAACTCCAAAAATCCCACCAAACAAATTTTTTCAGGGGATTAAATCATTTGGATTGGACAGAATCATTGATATTTGGATCCTTCTTCAACCAGAGGAAGAACGGAAGAAACGTGAGTACCCTGCTGGCCTTGGTGCAGTGGAAGGAAGTACTCAGTGCAAGGGATGGGAAGAGAGCAGACTGTTCTTAGTCAGTGTTCTTAGTTTCCTTCCGGAGAAGGGTGGAGCTAGTGCTGTCTTTTCCCGTGATGAGTGGGATGCCTGAGGCCTTCCACTTTCAGAGGTACTGACGGCCCTTTCTGGATCCTTCTCTGAGAAGTCTTAAGTTTCTAACATTAGGCCCTTATGCTGTCTTCCCTGCCATCTTTCTGTGGGCCTGGGCAGCTTTTACACATTGGAACATGGGCCCCATATTATAATATCTGACATTCCTATAGTGCTCTTCTTTTCATGGTTACAGCTCTTTCACATCCCTGTGATGCAGGTAAGAAGCTCCGGGGTAGACTTCTATATCCTCACTTTGGAGATGGAGAGGCAAAACACAGTTTTGCTGACTTGCCCAGCTCACATTGCAAGTTACTGATACCAGCACTAGAACCTTGGATTTCCCAACTTTAGAACCATTGGCCTGCTCCACTGTCAGTTATGAGTGTATAGCTATTCTACTGTATTTTAATGCAACTTTTATCTTGTTAACCTGGGTGTGTGTGTATTCTCCTTAGAAAACCTTATCATTAAAGACAGATTTATTAGAAGATGGGTGCACAAAGAAGGCTTTAGTGGCTTAAAGAGGTATGTGACTGCTGCAGAAGATAAGGAGCTTGAAGCAAAGATTGCAGTGGTTGAAAAATATAACATCAGGATTCCAGAACTGGTGGAAAGGATAGGAAAGTGCCACATAGAAGATTTGGACTTTGCAGGTAAGGAAAGCAGTTCTTATCTTCCTACCACGGCAAGGAACACATAGTCTTCTGAGGCTTCTTGCATGCATGAAAGAGCATTTGTGGCTAAGGGTGGCTTTGCTCAGTTATTGTCATTATTTAAAAGAAAGTAGTAAAGGTGTCATTTTTCTTTAGAGGCTCTTTATTTCTGTTCTACTTCTGATAAATATAACAGGATTTTCTAATCTCATCTCTACTATTGACTGTGTAACATTGGATAACTCAGTCTCTTCTGGGCCTCTGTCCCTTGAGCCCTAGAATATAATTCTGAGATGTACTACCTTTCCTGCAACTGAATTCCCCCTCCCCCTTATCTTTTATTTAACTTTTCCCCTCAACAGCTCTCCCTCACCCCCGGCCCCCCCCAAAAAGAGAAAAAACCCAAGAAAATGTAGTTAGAGCTTTAAGAATATTTTAGGGGGCACCTAACTTTTCTCCCATCTTCTTTCATTCTCTGCTAAGTTACCTTCTTAACTATAGACTGTATTTTAATTCTAGAATACATTTTGGGCACTGTGCACAAAGCCAAAGGCTTGGAGTTTGATACTGTGCATGTCTTGGATGATTTTGTGAAGGTGCCATGTGCCAGGCATAATCTTGCACAGCTTCCCCACTTCAGAGTTGGTAAGGAGATTGATTTCATTCTTTTGCTTTAGCCATTAATTTTTGACTGGGGATGCTTCCTCTTGACTGCCTTGCTTTTGTTGGATGGTGTGATCCAGAAGGGAGGGAGTTCTGGTGTGGCCTAGTGGCAAGAAGCTGTACTGCAATCCCAAAAGCCCATGGTTCAAATCCACCAGATGCTCCACGGAGAAAGATGGGCATTCTCCTCTTGTGTGATTAACTGCCTTTGAGAAGCCGCTGAAGGGTCAGTTCCAATTCTATGGTACACAACAACATGATCCATCTAGGAGAAGAATATATCTGTTAGTCCTAAACTCTTACACTGTGTTTTTAGGTAAGACCAAACCTTCACTGAGTACACCTCTCGAAGGCTGCCTGTAAGACAGTTAGGCTTATTGTTTACTACTTAACATGTGTCTGCTCATCAACTTTGGAATATTGACCACCAGACCTTGAGTGCCCTAGTCTAGGAGGATCAGCCAAGAGTCAGTTCCAACTTGATGGTACCAAACAACAATAGCTACAGTGTCATAGAAACTTTGGAACTTTCATGTAATTTCTAATGCACCACGATGTTTGAATTTTTTTTCTCCTTTAATTAAAGAAGCCAGAAAGTCATAAAAGATGAAACAGTAAGGATGTTGTTATTTTTCTACTTTTCTTATAAATTTATACTCAAGACTGGCTATTAAATTCTAAACATCAGTGGTGGTGTTTTAGTTTTAAATGCTAGAATAAGCCCATTTTAAGTTTTCCTAGTAACAAACAAGATTCTCTTTTAAACTTGGATTAAAAATTTTAGACATAGCATATATTGATTGTATTATAAGAAAAAAATACTAAAAATTCCTATCCCTGCTGAATATACACATAAAATGATCTACTATGCTGGAGATGAAAGGTAAAGGAAATGGGATTGCTTTCATAGTTAAAAAAGTCATTTCTGGATCTGTCTTGAAATAAAGTGTTGTGCGTGACAAGATAATATCCATATGCATACAAGGAAGTCCAGTGAATACCACTATCATTTAGATAGGTGCACCAACAATCAAAGCCAAAGAGGAGGAAATAGAAGATTTATACCAACTTTTGCAGTCAGAGGTTGGTCAAACATGCAATCAAGATGCATTAATAATAATAATAATGGGTGACTGGAATGCAAAAGTTGGGAACAGAGAAGATGGTTCAGCTGTTGGAAAACATGGACTCGGTGACAGAAATGAAGCTGGAGATAGAATGATAGAATTTTACACAATGATTTATTCATCACATATGTAGAATAACTAATTAGCAGATTCCCAGCATTTACCTCCCCTTGTGATTAGGTGCTATTGAATTGACTGTGACTCAGTGACCATATGAACACAAATCTAAACCTTGCCCTATCCTGCACCATTCTTACCATTTCTCATATGCTCAAGCGAATTGTTATGGTCACTGTGTCAATCCTTGTTGCAGATCTTCCTCTTTCTCTGACCCTCTGCCTTTCCCAGCATGATGTCTTTTTCCAGGGACTGGCCCTCCTGACAGCATACCCAAAGCCTGTGAGATGACCTTTCATCATCCTTGCCTCTAAAGAGCATGTTCGTTGTGCTTCTCCCAGACAGACTTGTATTTTCCTTTGGCAGTCCGTAAGCCATTCAGTAGTCTTCTCCAGGACCAAAATTCATATTTTTAGAAGTACTGAATGCAATTCGATGCTCTCTGCCACTGATCTAGTTTTTAGTTGATATGTGTTGGAAAATAGGTAGAATTTGCATAGAATGCCAGCAGATCTTGTGTTATGTGTGTATGTGTGTATGTCTTAAAGGGGTATAAGTAAAAGGTAATTAACATTTAAATAAGAACACAAATTTCTATAAAGTCTTTTGAGAGTCTGTGTATTTTTTCCCCCTTTACTTTCTTTAGAGTCATTTTCTGAGGATGAATGGAATTTACTGTATGTTGCAGTAACTCGTGCCAAGAAGCGTCTCATCATGACCAAATCATTGGAAAACATTTTAACTTTGGCTGGGGTAAGAGACATGGGTTAAAGACAAATGAAAACAACTAACTAACTAAAACCACTGAATTGTTTATGAATCATAGCAACTCTGTGAAACAGAGGAGGGCTGTTCCCTTGGAATTCTAAGCTGTGAATCTTTACAGAATTAGATTGCTGAGTCTTTGCCCCATAGAAAAACAGGTAGGTTCAAACCACTGAAATTCTAGCTAGCAGCAGAGTGCTTTAATCACTGCACACCACGCCTCTGAAACATAGATAGCATGAGTTAGTTACACCATGTTTGGATTTTACTTGGTTTGGAGAAATTAGGATCATTCCGCAGGCATTCAAGGCTTTTGGGTCAAAAGCTAGATTATACGTGGAGGACTTCTTATATGTAGAGGCTGATTACTAGTAGCAAGAAGTGTTATGGCCAAGAAAATAAAATGTGAGTTTAAATTGAATTTAAAAATATCTTTTTAAAATTTCAGCCATTTTAATTTTATTTCTTCATTTCTCTCTTACTCAGTTAGTTCTCAGAACACTTAGGGAGGAAAAAGCCAAGAATGTTTCTTGTGCCTCAACTTTCCTCTCAATCCCTTATCTTTTGAAAGCGCCTGCCACCAATAGATTATGCAGATGACACAGCCTTGCTTGCTGAAAGTGAGGAATACTTAAAGCACTTGCTCCAAAGAGCAAAGATTATAGCCTTCAATATGAATTCCATCTTAACATCAGGAAGACAAAAAAGAAAAAAGAAATAAAAAAAAAATTAAAAAAAAGAAGACAGACATTCTCTCCACTGGACCAATAAGCAACATCATTATAGATGGAGAAAAGATTCATCAACAAAGATTAAAAGATTATCAATGGTTCATCTTACTTGTATCCACAATCAATACCCTTCTAACTAGCAACAGTGATGTTAGTTTGAGGATTAAGATCTGCCTTATTCAGGCCATAGTTTTTAATCGCTTACCCCAGGAGGGACCAGTCCTTGGAGAAGGACATCATGCTTGAAAGGGTGGAGTGATAGCACTGGAGAGGAAGACACTGGATGAGATGTGTTGATAGAGTAACTAGGGCAATGGTATGTGTGTCAGAATCAGACTGGTTCAGGACAGGACAGGTAGAGCTGCAGTACTTAAGTTCACTATGAGTCACAGGCAACTTGATGGCACATAACAATAACATGCGTCAGAAAGCCTGGACAATGAATAAGGAAGAATTGATGCCTTTCAGTTGTGATGTTGGAGAATAGTACTGAGTATCCCGTGGACTGCCAAAAGAACAGATAAGTCTTGGGAAAAATGCAGCCAGGGTTATCCTTGGAGGCGAGGATGGCGAAACTTCCTCTCGTATACTTTGGGCATGTTGCTAGGAGAGGCTATCCCTTGCAAAAGGACATCATACTTGCAAAGGTGGAGGATCAGCAAAAGAGAAGACCCTCAATGAGATGGATTGACAAAATGACTGTAGCAGTGGGCGCAAGGTTTTGGAGATGATGAGGATGGCACAGGATAGAACAGGATTCAGATCTGTTGTTCATAGGGTCACTATGTGTCATACTTGACTCAGTGGCACTTAACAACAACCAATAAATGTCTCCAAAGGAATATGCCCTTACAGAGTAAAGTAAGTATTTAGTCATTTCATTTCTTGTCACTAGCCAACATGTAGAAAGTGAGCTGGTCAACATTCTGCAAATCGGACTTCTTCTCTACTCTGTAGCTACTTTTCACCTTCCACAGGCTAGACTAGAAACGATTTCATTTTTTTTTTTCAGCCTTGTTGGAAAGTAGAACAGAAATTTGAATTAATTAGTTGCTACTTAGTTTTTCTCTAAATTAAAGATGCTTAACCCGGAAGCCTAGAACTTATACATAAAATATAATAGAAATCTACTTTTTTCCTTTAGCTATCTCCAAAACATTTGATTTTATCTGTCAGGATGATTTATTCCAAGTGCTGTATTATACTGTTCTCTTAGGGAATTGAGATATATTCAGAGCTGTAGAGTCTAAGCATAGCTACTAACGGTTTTATATAGTGTAAAGGCACGGAACAAAAAGAACAACAACAAAGACACCAGTAATTATTTTTTAAAAAATAAATAGTAATTAGCCTTTCTACGAAGATGGCGCCGAAAGCGAAGAAGGAAGCCCCTGCTCCTCCCAAAACTGAAGCCAAAGCAAAGGCATTGAAGGCCAAGAAGGCAGTCCTGAAGGGCGTCCACAGCCAAAAAAAAAAGAAGATCCGCACGTCACCCACGTTC